TAGTAATAATCACACTCCTCCTTTCTTAATGCCCTGCCCCCACATGCACACACAAAAGTCAATGGCCAATGAGGATGTTGAGAGACAAAAGAAGTTGGGGGAACGATAACGGAGTACAGAGCTGAGAAACAGCAGCTCCCTGCAAATCTGAGACCTCAAATGTAAGACCAAAACCCTTAGGACTGGGGCTTTCTGAGTCTTTACTCCACTACTCAATGACATCTTTATCCCAGCCACACTCTCCTTCGGTAGTGGCCAATGGAGGAGTAATGACTCAGGAATGGCTACCCCCTTTATTTTACCCCAAAAAGAAGTCCATGCAATTGCTCCCTCTATAAAGAAACAATCAATACAAGTGCATCCAATCAGACCAGAGAAGATTGAATTGGTAAATGTCACCAGTTGATTTGGAAATAAACTTAAAACTGTGTGTAAAATGGAATTATAATCAGCTGCCCTAAATTTCAGCATCGTGGGCTGTAACAGAAGTATAGACACCCACCTGTTAAAGGGTGTCTCACTCCTCTGTAAAGATGTGTTAGTTATGTTTGCTTATTAAAGTGACCAGAAATAAGACTTAAGAAATAAGACTGTTGCAGTATTTTAGACAGTATTGGCACGGTATATAACACAAATTTAAACTCCATATGTGTATCTATGTGTACATATGTATAGATTTGTTTATATGTAATCAACATATTGATATAATAAAATAAGAACCACAAGTAACAAAAACTACAATGCCCCATGTAAGGAAAACTTGCTTGCTTCTCAGATTAAGAAAGATAAAAATATTTATTTTTATCACAATAAAATAAATTATGACATAATTATTTATAATTGTAAGAAAAAAGATTATTATTAAAGTATTGGTTGTTACCAATAACATAGCTACTAAGCTCTAGTATACATGAGTCAATGCTTTTTGCTTACCAAGCATGTTAATAGCTATTTCTCATAACCACCCTGTGAGCTAGGTTAATATTGCTACTCCAAAAGGAAACAGAGGCACAGATTAATTAATAAATTGATTCGAAGTCATACACTGAATCATAAGTGGACCTGGGGTATGAGCCCAAAGATCCTGACTTCTCATACCATGGAACTCAGGCTACCTTATGGATGGAGACCTTCAGGTCATTTGCAGCCTTTCTACTTACCCTGATAATGGAAAATGACTTTTTAAAGAACCTGGTAATAAAGAAACATTGCCTTTGGGTTGAACCACAATTTTCCAGCCTGACATGATTTGCAGTTATAGACATCCTCTGGGACTTACTTTTGAATTTCAGACTTAGGGGACTATTTTCCCATATTTATCTAATTAGAGATATCTTAAAACTCCTTCCCTTTTTTCTCCTCCTAACCATTTGTTGTTATATTTTGCTATTTCTTTTTTATTACCCACCCTGCCTTAGTCTGGGAACTGTAACCAAATCAATATGCTTCTGGAAAGAGCTTATCAGTTGACTTCCCTGTGACTCTGCTCACCATCCCTTTGCTATTTATTCCCAGACCAAAATGCCATTCCCTGGTAACCACCCCCCATACGTGTTATTTCCGCCTATTGGTCTGATCAGCCACAGTTGAACACACCATACCTCAACTCCAACATGGTGACATCATTTTGGTCCTCTTCAAGAACAAAGCACAACAAGCAACCAACCTATTTCCCCCTATTATAGAATAAACTCTTTGAGGATAGGGACTCTCTCACTTTTGCATTTATGTCTTCGGGCTTGTCGTCATGAGCGTCATCATACATTCAGCAAGTATTTCATAAATGGTTTTCATTTTCATTCATCCAACAGACTCTTTCCAAAGTATTCTGGTTGGCACCGAAGGCCAACATGTTGTACAAGCATAGTGCAAAGAGTATTAAATGTGGAGGTCAAAACCACAGTTACAGTCTTCCAAACTGTGTGAGTGTTGGCAAGTCACTCCAACCTTTTGCGCCTGTTTTCTCCTGTAGAAACTGAGGATAAGATAAAGAGATGGGAGAAAACAACCTTTTTCCCTTTTTGGCAGATGTCATACTCAGTCATGTGTTGGTTAGTTTTGCTGTACTTTGTTTTTTCTTTTTTATTCTTTGTTGTAAGGGATGGCTCTCTGGGAAGGGAAGGGGAGGGATATATTAGTGATGTAAAAAGAAAATATATTAATATTTTAAGGTGGGGATACTATATGGCATATGGTTTCCAAATTTGTAAATCACCTTATAAATGTTTATTACTACATTGAATAAGAGATACTTCTAGGATTTGAGCTTTCCTGGTCACTTGTACCCCAATTATTAGAAATACATTGGGGGCAGCTAAGTGGCACAGTGGATAGAGTACCGGCCCTGGATTCAGGAGGACCTGAGTTCAAATCCGGCCTCAGACACATAACACTTACTAGCTGTGTGACCCTGAGCAAGTCACTTAACCCCATTGCCTAACCCAAAAACAAAAACAAAAAAAGAAATACATTAACAATGACGTTGCCTCTCTCTGCTCTCCTGCTGAATCCTACATCCCATTGCAAGGACTGTCTGCATTAAGCCTCATTAAGACTGCTGAATTCACTTTCTTGGAAAGTCCCAGTTATGTAGGAAGAAATTTATAACTCCTCCATCCATTGCCTTTCCTCCAGCTGCCTCCTTCACTGCCCTTATTTCTAGGACCACTTAGCCAACTGGTCTCCATCACTGCAGGCAGGTAAACCCACTCATGGGCTCTGCTTGTCTCACTCCTATTTCAGGCACTTGCTCCCACCTATAGTGTTCTACCTTTCCTCTTTCTCTCCAAAGACAATGTTTTCCTAATTTATTTTTTTTATCATTAGTTTATTTTCTTTTATCAACAATCACTTCCATAAGCTTTTGAGTCTTAAATTTTTCTCCCCCTCCCTCTCTACCTCCTTCCTCAAGATGGCGCACAATCTGATATTGGCTATAATGTTCTCCTAATTTGGACTCTTTCTGCCTTTTCTGCTGAGTAGCTCCTCTGGCTCAAGTCTCTTCAAACACTGAACTGACTAAGACGAACCGATGGTTAGCCTCTAACTCCCACCCTCACCCCACAGTTCTTTGGGAAAGTTTATTTGCTTATTTTAATTGCATCTCTGAAAACAGATTATGGTCTGTGGCAACAATTGCCTTGGGGAACAAATAGGAACTGGATATGGATAGGAGCTGAACCTGTGATTTCATTGATAATAGGAACTTCCAGAAGAGGACACTTCCTCTCTCATGCAGGTCAGCACCTTCTGTGCAACTTATAGACTTTGTATCCTAGAGCAGTGAGAGGTTAAGTGACTTGTCCAAGGTCACATGGCTCATATGTGAGAGGTGAGACCTGAATCTAGATCTTTCTGTTTCTAAGAGCAGCACTCTACCTACTATACCACACTGCCTATATACACATACAATTCATAGGGGCCACAAAGTTAAGAACATTTTTGAGTATTTACAAAATGATCAAAGTGATTAGAAATATAGCAAAGTCCTATTTAAACCACTTTATTGGGTTTCCCACAAGATATCCCCTGGCTAGGGAAATCCAATTTTAAAAAGATGAATCTGGGGCAACTAGGTGGCTCAGTGCATGGAGCTCTGGCCTTGGAGTCAGGAGAACCTGAGTTCAAATCCAACCTTAGACATTTGACACTTACTAGCTGTGTGACCCTAGGCAAGTCACTTAACCCCAATTGCCTCACCAAAAGGCAATAAAAAAAAAGATGAATCCTACATTCTGCTTTGAAGGTCATCAAAGGAGGGGTGAGGGAGATCTATAAATGAACAAGGGCTCTTTGCTAAAAGAACCACAAAGCTCTTAATCCTGGTTTGGACATCTGCAGAAGCATCCTTCCATTCATTCATCCAATGAGCATTTATTCACCAGGACACTGTACTAGGAGCTAGACAAAAAAACACTAACCAGGCTGTACCTTCAAAGAGTTTCCCCACAACTAGAAAGTTGTGGGGAACAAAATGTACACAGATAAGTTAAGACAAAATACATACAAAGTAAGTGCAGGATAATCTGTGGGGAGAGGGCTCTAGCAGCTGGGACAATCAGGGAAGCCTAATGTACAATGTGGTGTTTGAGTTGAGTCTTGAAGGAATCTAAGGATTCCCAGAGGCATAGAGGAGGAGAGGGAATATTCTAAGCAGGAGAGACAGTCTGTGCAGATACAGAAGTCAGAGGTAGCTATTAAGAGAGGCAGTTGGCCTATAGGGAAAAGGGACAATTACAATTCACTTGAAGTTCAATGAAGCATCACTAGTACCTTAGAACACATTCAGAAATAAACTTGTAGAACTCTAGGCTGTGCATAGTGGATGTTGCACATACACCCTCAGGTTCATGTTGGTAGGTAGCCCTATTGCTGTTTTCTACAGTTTTTGATGTTAAGGCTTCTGCCTTTATGAGGCAGGGGAAAGCTAGGTAGAAGCTATATTGAGTCATATTTTGCGGGCTGCCCTGAAGTCAATGTAACTGTTTCCTCTCTACCTACTATCTAGCCTTGGCTATCCAGAAGGTAGTGATGACTTTGCCTCATCCATGTTTCTCCACTTCACATGGCTCCTCACGAACTTTGTCATTTCTTTAAACGTAGTTTGATCTGCTGGCTTCTTTTAAAATAAGAGATCTGACCCATGACTACAGGAAGGCAAGGTGGGGAAGGCCGGACATGTGGAAATAAAACATTGTTCACCCAGAAAAACCAGTGGGAGTGATAGAGATGGAATTGAAGTGTTTAAGGTCCCAGAGCCATCATTCTTCCAAGCAATGGACTTGGTTGAGTGGTACCTCATTACCAAATGCTTCATTATTCAGGCGGAACCTAAGTACTAATAGAATAAATCAACTCAAATGCCAATGAAATATTTTTTCAGATTAATGAAGAAAATTTGTATTGGCTAGGTACCATCTAGCATTCTAATTGACGTCTGGTATAAACCCAAGTGTTTTTTCTCTGGTCTAGTTTTTTTGGAATAAGTTTGAAATCCGTGACTGAGGATGTCTCATTTCCGGTCCCGTTTGGGTAAAAGCCACCTTGGCAAAGTCTGCTTTTTTTCTATTTCAGTTCTAGGAAAGTAAGCATCATACGATAGCTCTTCTGTGCCCATGATGGTCTTCACATACACATGAGTCTCTTCCATCTCTATTGTTTCCTTCACATCCATGTCGGGGCTGCTGAGATTCTGGGAAGAAAACAAAAGGACTGATGAAGCTTGAGCAGCCTCAGAATTTCTATCATTAAAGTCATTTAGAGGTTTGTGTTCTCCCATATCCCTTGTCATCTCAAATGTAAATAATAATCAGGTTCCCCCAAACAACTAATAATTGGTTATCCCTACCTCAGATTAGAATTTCCCTAACAGCAGGTCAGGGTGTCCCCAGGAATTCCTAGGGGAATTTCGAGGGTTATATTAGTCACAAAGCTACTGTAGCTCTTTAGCATGCCAATTCAAGTCAAATTGCCTGCTTTTCCTTCTTAGTTCCCAGGGTGTCATACTGGATTAGGCAACGGCCCTATCTCTGGTAGCATAGAGATGTCTATGCTTCTAAAGGTAGACATTAATGCCTTTCACAGGAAAAGAGCAATTAGTAAATGCACAAAGAAGAATTCTATTTATAACTTTATTTATTATGAAGATTAATTTGCTTCAAGTAAAACCCTGTACCTTGGTTCTAAATTCTAAGAGTTTAATTTAAACAAATGATTGTAGTTAACAACAGATCAATCTCTAAATCAGGGCTTCTTAAACGTTTTCCGTCCCTCGTATGTCGGCAGCATTCATTGGCATTGCATGGCCTGATGCCATGTACAGTGCAAAGTGTGCATGCTGTGTGTTCAGAACCAAGGTTGCAATGAAGTTGCATGATGTAACACTGGCAAACGCTGCCACAAACACCTCGGTTTCATTATGTGTTTGATTTTGAATTAATTTCTGGTCTTTGCGCTTTCAGGAACCTCTTACTGTTGCCAAATGGGTTCACAACCCACAATTTAAGAAACACTGCTAAAATAAGCCCCTAATAATGATAACTCAGTGGCTAAGGTTAAGAGGTCTGCTACAGTGTTACTGTTCACAATAAAATCTATCCCTGAACCTACCCTTTTAACAAACCTTTCAGTGGTTCTTGAAGTGTTGATCTCTCTGCAAAGACTTCACCAATTCATGTGTCATAGTCCTCAGGCAAGATATCACCTCAACACCCTGAACCTTATTCCTGACAAGAGTACCACCATCTTTCTGGCCATTTAAATTCACAACTCCTTCCATTCCTCACTCTCACTCAACATATCCATTTACTTGACAAATCTCACCAATTCCACCTTCACGTCATCTTCCATCTATGTCCCCTTTTCTCTATTCACACAGTCACCAACCTAGGTCAGGTCTCCATCAGCTCTCACCTGCCTCCTAAGCTGTATCCTTGCTTCAAATCTCCCCACTTTATTCCACCCCACACATAGCAGCCAAAGTGATTTTCCTTAAACCCAAGTCTGACCTTATCAGTCCCCTATTCAATAAACTCTAGTGCCCTATTAATAAACTCTATTGACCCTAGGGTCAAATATTGTTTCTTTTTTATCTCATCTTTTCCATTTCCATTTTGGTGCAATTTTTATAATGCCCATAATTATTAGTATAGTAGTATGTGTATATAATTTATGAATAAGTGAACAGACGTATGTTAAGGGTTCATGCTTGAAAATTTTTACTGATAAGAGTACATGTTCAAAAATGCTTGAATACCATTGGTTGAGTATTGAAGTATTTCAGTCTCAATGGAAAGACCTTCAGATATGGTGTCAAAGAAGGTGTATTAGAGGACAGATGCTGGGAAAGACTAAATGAGCATCCATAAAGAATCACAGAATCTCAACAATGGAAGAGATCTCATAAGTCATTTAGGTCAACCTGTACCTGGATATGAATTCCTGATAAGGTCCATAATTATGATCATCCAAACTCTGAAGACCTCCATTTACAGGGAACTCATTACCTCACAAGGAAGCCCATTCTTTTTGGGATGGCTCTAATTATCAGAAAGTTTTTCCTCACATTGAGCCAAAATCTTCATCAGAGTAACTTTCACCCATTACATCCAGCTCTACCCTTTGCATCTAAGCAAAATAAGCTTAATTCCACTTCTCCATTATAGCTCTCCAAAAACTTGAAGACATCTTCCATGTCCCTAGATAAAGTCTCTTCTCCAGGCTGACCTCTAGTAATGAGAATTACTACCTGATTCTAATCTCTCTGTCTTTCTGTCTGTCTGTCTGTCTCTCTCTTCCTCTCTCTCTCCCTTTCTTCTCTGGTTTTCATTTTATGTACCTCTCCTTTTTAACCCCATCCACTTTTGTACCCTCTCCTTCTGATGACAGGATTTACAGTCCACAGATTATTTATTGTGAGATATTAAAAAGTACAACTGAGAATCCTTACCTCCAATGATACCTCAGAACTGTCATAGATGTCTGGAAAATCATTTGGTCTTTGATTTTCCTAAATTGGTAACAAAAATGTAGAATGAAAAGATATAAGCTTGGATCATTATTTAAGTGCATGAGAAATGAACACAGGCACATTCAAAAACAGGAGATGGAATGGATTTAGAGTCCATGTGACACTTTAGGTGATAATAACAGGACAACTTTTCTGAATAACTCTGCCTAAGGGATTTTGAATGGTAGATCTGGACGTTGAAATAGCCTGGTATTTATGACAAAGGGAGACTACCTTCTTTATTCTGGAAGGAAAAAAGCATAGATAACTATATTCCTGGACATAACTGATTATAAACACCTTCATGCCTTGTAGACACATCAGATTTATCATTCATTCTCTTTCCCTGCATGTTGTCCTTTGTTTTCAAAGTTACCCTATACTGGCCCAAAGAGGTGGAATACGTAGAGCTTCATCAACCATAGAAGACACCAAGGTCATCCACTGCATCCTGGCCATCACCTGTCATCTTGATTTTTGTCCTGCCACTGGACTTTGATGACTCAGGAGAAAGAGTGAGGCTAACAACTTTGCACAACTCTGCCTCACTTAAATTCAATTCACGAGCAAGTCAGGACATCACCTGTGATGTCATTGGTGCTATTTGAAAATAAATAACAACTACAGCAACCCTATACTTGGTCTCCTGCCTCAAATCTCTCCCAATTTTAATCTATCCTACATATAGCAGCCAAAGTGATTTTCCTAAAGTTAAAGTCTGATGGAATGGGAACTTGGTTTCACCATTATGTTTATTATTCAATAGATATTAAGGATTACAACCAGAAAATTTCTCTACAATTTGAGGGTATTGTTACTCTAAACAAATGTCCTCCGAAGAGTAGATATTCTCATTAGCCTAACAATGAAGCTGAGGCTTAAGGTGAGAATGTTTTTGTCCAGCATCTACTGTGGGGACAGAAATGGAATCTAAGACTTCTAATCCCACAAACCAGGAAAGTCATTTACAATGAAAGCTCCTGTTTTGGTTTTTTCCTTGTATCCTCAATACATCACACAATGCCTGGCTCAAGCCTTAGGTAGTAAGTACCTAATAAATGCTCAATGAATGAATGTCATTTAGAGTCCTCCTTCAAACCGAATGAAAGGGATAATCACCTGAGTATGCCCATCTTTTCTTCTTTTCCGAGCACAGACCACAATTAAAGCTACAAGCAGGACCACAGCCACCAAGGTTGGGATGCCGGCTGCCAGCCCCAGAATTATGATACAATCCTAATGTAGAGAGATAGAAAGCATAGGATCACATGTATCAATTCTTCTGTGGTTGCTCACCATTCACTCCCACAAATGGTCAGTAAAGATGCTGTGTGCACCAAGAGCTTCGTCCAAGCCACAGTCTTTATTCACACTCAAGGTTCAACTAGACTGTAAGCTGCTTAAGAGCAAGGATGGTATTTTTCTCTATGTTTCTGTTTTGTTTTGTAAATAGCTAAGAAAATATGCCTAGCACATAGTAGGTGCCTAATAAGTGCTATTGACTTCTCTAAATATGACTATCTACTACAAATTAAGCAGTGGTGAATAATAATAATATTTATATGGCACTTTAAGGTTTATAAAGCGTGATACATACATTATCTCACTTGATCATTACAATAACCCAGTGAGATAAATGCTACTGATGTTATCATCCCTGTTTTACAGATGAGGGAGCCCCTCTCAGATCCCTAATGGACTCCCAATTCTGAGGCTCAGAGCAGCTAGAATCATACCACTAGCAAGTGTCTGAAGTGGGCAAGTACTCCTGACTCCAGTTGCAGCATTCTTTCCCCTACACTGTGCTAATGTACAACCTACAAAATCAGACACGAAGTCCCCCCCGAAGAGGAGGGGTAGAGTCTACAGCACTCCGAATCACCGAGCTCTAACAGGAACTGACATTAAAAGAGCACTTTGAAGTTTACATGCACAATCACCTTGGAGCCTCACAACAACTCCGGGGCATCTACTACAGGGATTATTATCTGCATTATACAGATGAGGAAACTGAGGCTCAGAGAAGCCCATGGCTACATAGGGAATATATGTCAGAGGCAGGATTCCAACTCAGGTCTTCCTGACTCTGTGTCCAATACTCTGCCCATTACGCCATGCTGCCTTCCAGAAACTGGATCTGGCTCTCCTGCTTCTCTGATGAGACAGAGATTTGGGTGACTGGTTCACAGCATCTGCCTCACCCATGTCTTTCCTCTGTATCCAAACACACTTAACTCAGCAGAGGCAATTCATATCAGTAAATTCTAGTGGCTGTTCTTAGGGTCCCAGGGTACCTATGTTTTGTGGTTTTTCGGTCATTTCAGTCATCTCCGATTCTTTTTGTGATTCCATTTGCGTGGGGGGGGGCAAACAGTGGTTTGCCATTTCCTTCTCCAGCTCATTTTACAGATGAAGAAACTGAGGCAAACAAGGTGAAGTGACTTGCCCAGGACCACACAGCTAGTAAATGTGTGGTGCCAGATCTGAACTCAGGACTTCCTGACTCCAGGCTCTGTGCTCTATTCACTGCACCACCTAGCTGCCCCAGGATCTCTATGTTTAGACTTCTAAAATAACCCAGGAGAAGTTTGCCTTCCTAGCTTTGGAAACTGGGACCAATATAAGTGCAGAGAAAGGATCATCCACAGGAATGCAATTATCTGAGTGATATAAACGGCAAAAAGAAACCTACCAGTAAGGCAAAGCAATCTTGCCCCCAAAGAAGTGATGAAATTCACCTCCCTCTTTTCTTTGGAGACTATCCGTATAGAAGATTGCATACACTGCCAGATGGGATCAATGCATTGGTTGGTTTTGAATCCCTATTTTCCCTGAAGGAGTGTTCCCTATGGTTGACAAGATGGGATGGAGGTGGGGGAAGTGTCAGAGGAGCATAGCTGAGAATAAATGTGATGGAAAAACAAAATGTCTCATAGATCTAGAGATAGAAGAGATGCCAGATGCCATCTAATCCAACTGCCTCATTTCACAGATAAGAAAACTGAGGCAAAAAGAGGTTTCGTGGCTTGCTCAAGTTCACACAGGTAGAAAGTGGCAGAGGCAGTATTCTAATTCAAGTCTTTTGACTCAGGAGCCAATGGTCTTTTCACTGTACCACACTACCCCCCCCCATTTTTCAAATGTATCATCTCATATTTAAAAAAAAAGAAAAAGAAACATAAGTGGCTGATTAGATTGGAGGAATTTATAAAAGTTTTCTGCTTCTTTGCACTATACTAGGGTTTCTACTCCAGGACCCAACCTTTGGTTCTTTTTGCTTCCAGTAAGAAGAAATAAGAGACAGGGGTTTGGAATAGAACAGGGCAGAGACAGGAAAGAATTGTAAACTGGTCAGCACTTCCACAAAATCAGCTTTCCTGGACGACTATTTCACAAGTCAGAAAAGTTTTCAAAGCTTTTCAGCAATCCTCCCCCTACCCAATTAGCCCATATCTCAGATAATGTTCTGAGGGTCTAGCTAGTGAATCCAGTGCAATTTCTTCTCTCTCTCTCTGTCTCTGTCTCTCTTTCTTCCACTCTCTTCCTCTCCCTCTCCTTTTTCCTCTTCCTCTCCTTCTTTACTCTCTCCCTCTCCTTTTCTTTCTCTTTCTTTTCCATCTCTCTTTCCTTTTCCTTCTCCCTCCCTCTGTCCTTCTTCCTCTCCCTTTCCTTCTACCTCTCCCTCTCTTCACACGGACCCAACTGGCTTGAAGGACTATAGCTCTTTAAAAATGGATAGCAGCTTGGTAACATACCATATGTGAGCGGGTGGGTTGTTTGTGTGGCCAAGTACAGGAAGTTTATGCCTACCCATCCTGTCAGACTCTTTTATGTGTCCTCTCTTAAGTACACCACAAGGAATCCACCCAATATGCTGGCGTTCATCCTTGTTTTCTTTTTATATCATGGGGATACCAGAAGAGTCCACAGGTTGTTCACTGGTCATCCTTTGCTCTCACCACATGATCAGTCCATCTTCTTTTTTAATTAGTGATTTCTCTGATGATAATCATCAAGTGGGAAAATAAGATAGTCTCACCATGTGGTGAGCTGATGTTTACTGTCTGTGTGACCTCAAATAAGTCACCTACATGAGCTTTAGATTCCTCATCTGTCACATGAAGTGGCTAGAATAGATGGTCTCTGAGGACATCCTCTGGCCCAGCCTTACCCTGGGCATCCCGGGGTCTCACAAACCCTTGCTACAAACTCCTTGTTGAATCTCAGGTGGGGTTTTCCCTGAGCTCTGGTAGGCAAGGTTCCTCTGGCAGTCTGGATGTTGCCCTGGACTCCAGAAGCCCCAGAAGGAGGGGAGAATATTTCCTCCTCCTATGTCACAGAAAGACTGCTCACTACCCTAAATCTCCACATAACCTGCTCACTACCATTTGGTCACTCTCTGTCACCTCTAATGCCCAGCTGCCCAGCCTGGTACCCTCGTATGTCCCTCTGGTGTGGTACCAAAAAGCAGTCTCTTGGTGTTAAGTGCCATCCAAGGCAACAATAACCTTTCCTTTACTACTGCTAAGTCATTCTCCCTTCTCCACAAGGGAAAACACTTGTGGGTTGCTACAACCAAGGTCTCTCGTGCTTTTTTTTTTACATACACTCCCTGAAAAACTGAACAGTTTGTCTCTAGATTTCTGGGCCATCTGTTAGTATCTGTTCTTGGCTATTTTTAGCTTCTTTCTCAGAGCTCCAAGTACTGACAAACCAAGCTCCTTGATCATTTTCACAATATCCCCTGAGAGCTACAGTCAGTCAACAAGCATTGATTTAATGCCTTCTCTTTGTCAGGTACTGACAATCCACAGATGCATCATCATCCCATTTTAAAGATTCTCTCACTCATCAGAGAAAACAGCCACCTTGGAATGATCCTAGTTTGTGAAATTTTACCCTCAAATTCACCAAGGATCTTTGATTTCATTTTTCTAGGAACTTCCTCCACCAGCTGCCATAACTTAACAAAGTCTTTGGAATCTGCCCATGTTTATACAACAGTTCTTGTTGTTGTTCATCCTTTGTACTTGAAGAAGACCAATGCCATCATGATGCCAGGGTCAAGGTACAGTGAGTCCGACTATGGCTGAGGATTTACACAACTATCAAGAGTCAGAGGCTGGATTTGAACCCAATTTCTTCTGAACCCAAGTCCATTGACTCGACTATTCACTATGCCACTGAGGCCTCCTAGAGGCAATAAATGCTTAAGAATAGTCAGTCAACAAGCATTTATTAAGCTCTTTCTATGTGTCAGGGGCTGTGCTAAGCAGTGGGAATACAAATATGAGCAGAAAGAAAGGTAGCCCCTTTCCTCTGGGAAAGAAACTTCCAATCTACTGGGGAAATATCACATGTACAAGGAAGCTGAAGAAGAGGAGGTGGTGGGATGAAGGTACCCAATCATCAGGCATGGGAGAGATAATGGAGAGTGCAACTTGGAGAAGAATGAAGACATGGCCGGCCAGGTGCCTTCCTTAAATGAAGGTCCTGGGAGGAGCCATCCAATCAGAGCGAGAAGCTGAAGGAGCTGAGAGGAGTCCTTCCAGTGTGGGAATTCCAGGGCAGTGTGAGTTTCCAGGATGAAGAGGTTTCTGCAGCATAAGAGGTTTCTGTGGAACAAATCTTAGGAACAATTTCTTCACTTGACATTGAAGAGACAATTGAGAAAGAGTGTGAAAGCACGTTGTAGACTTCAAAGATGATAATAGCTTAATGTAAGCTATTATCATTATTTCATTCTCACTTCTGTTTGAAGCATTTTATCAGCTTATCTCTGGAATCCTCACAGCTCCAGGCAACATTGAACATCTCCCATTTATTTTACAGAAGGTAAGTCGATCAAAGGCAGCTAGGTGGTATAGTGGATAGAGTTCTGGGCTCAGAGTCAGAAAGACTCAGAAACTTCCTAGCTGTATGACCTTGGGCAAGTCACTGCCTCTGTTTGCCTATGGACTGGTGGTCCAATGGAGAAGAAAATGGCAAACCAGTATCTTTGCCAAGAAAACCCTAAGGACAGATGTCCACAGGGTCACAAGGAATTAGACACAACTGAACAACAACAAAGTCAATCAATAGTTAGTAAACATTTATCAAGCACTTACTACATGCCAGGCACTGTGCTAAGCACTGGGAATACATCTAAGAAAAAGAGACTATCTCTGCCCATGAGGAGCTTAAAATGTGAGAAGACAATACACAAAAGGAAGCTGAAAAGGGAGGGAGGCTGCCAGAGCTGGGGCAAGGATGTATCAAGTTGACAGCAAGTCAAAGCCAGATGAAGTAAACTGATAATAAATAAACTGAGGCAGAAGACTTTAAAGAACTCATCCATAGCCACATAAAGTTGAGCTCAGAGTTTCTGAGTTAAGATGGAGTATGCTATGGTGTAATGAGTACTGAATCTGGTAATAGAGGACCTGGGTTCAAAGGTATTTGCTAAGGTGGTGCAGTAAAAGAGTAGCTTCAAATCATTCCACTTATAAATGGGTTGGGGGGGGGTATTCTTCCGCAAATAAGCACAATATTTATGGGAATGATGATCTCAAAAATCAGGTAATAGTAGTGAGGTACTTCTATTATAATCTACTGAAATTTATTGTATGTTGCCTTACCCACACACATAAACTAGGATGCAACTCCTGGTACTACAACACCTAAAAGTCCTTTTACTCTTTGAAGAATCCTCATCCAGTTTCACTTGGACTAGCATTTCTGTTGGTTGGATTGATCAGTTGGATTTTTAGGGCTCACTCCTCTACAAAATTCAACTCTCAATTTCCAGAGCTAGTTCTCTTCCAGCAATCATAGCCAGCTCTTTTCTCTGCTGCCAAGGACCCAGTTTTTCAAAACTGTCTTCCCTTTGAGTGACTTCCTTTCTACATCCAAATCTCTCTGTAATGTGTGTTTCTCTGCTTCCTCAATATACCTCCAACTCTTTTTAGCTGATTAACTCTCAATTTGCTATAGTTCCCTATTACATTATAAACTGTGCTATGGTAGGATGTATAGTATAACAGGAAGAGAAGCCACTGATCTTAGTTCTTATGAGCATGGACAGAGTTCAGCTGATGCGAATCTCCATGTGAAAGAGGCTAGACAGCCTTCTTCCAGTAGAGTTAAGATAACATGCAAGGGAAATGCCTTGGAGAGACATTTTGTAATTGATTTTGATTTGCTGATTACATTTTTTGATGGGCTGAAGAACATTCAAAAAGCACTATTTGACTGAGAGTATTTTATTTTGTCTTTGTATTCCCAGCAACTTGTAGAGTGCCATATTCATATCAGGTGCTTAATAAATATTTGTTGGGTTGGATTAAAGGGGCAGCTTTGGAGAACAAATCCAATAATGTACTGGAGCCAGCTCATACCAGCTCTTGAAAACAGACTGTTAAATTTTCAGTGTGAGCATTTACTTCTTGGAAATCAGCATAGCTACAAATCAGGGTTTGGTTTATTGTTTCTAGACTTAAAAAAGTAATTGAGAAAATATTAATAATATAGATTAAAGTTAAAAGTCTGTAAAACACTTTTTTCCCTCAGAGAGCTGAATGTTAAACATTTACCAGCACACCCATGGACAAATGAGAGCAGTAACCTAAGAATTATTAAGGCTTTAGCACACAGTGGAAAAGAAAAGACTGTGACCACTTTATTTCAAGAAAATGATCAACAATTTCTTTCCTCTTCAGTCTCCACACCTGGCCATCTGGATTTTCTGTATCATGCCATAGTAGCTTGATCATTCTGGAAGTTCACTCCTCTCCTAGCCTTCTTACAGAGGAAGTACCCTGGATCCCTGCTGTCCCTTTCTCTAATGGGTTAGTTCCTCCCAGAATCTCCATTAAAAGGACAACACCCAGGCCAGCTGTTTCTTCATTTCTCTCTAGGCTCCACTCCTGACTCTCTGGACTTTATCTATCATGTCTCCTTAATGGGACCTTCTCATCCCCCTTTCTATTTCCTTTTAGGTGCTGTCTTCTCCCATTAGAAAGTAAGTTCCTTGAGGACAAGGACTGTCTTTCTTTCTGCTTGTACTTCTATTCCCAGTGCTTATCTCAGTGTCTAGCACATTGAAACCACTTAATAAATGCTTGTTGATTTGACCTGTTGACTTGAGAAAAAAAATTCCAAAATGAATTAAAACAAGTAGTATTCTACAAATAGAAAGAACTCATGGAACTCTATTAAGGAGAAACTTAAAATTTTGCTTTGGATTTACATCTCTACCACTTAGCATAGTGCCCAGCACATAAGTACATACTAAATACTTTTGTATTTATTCATTCTTTTTTTCATTCAAACAATTGTAAATATATTGTGCTCTTCTTACATTATGTTTTACTTGTGAGCAGAGTTAGTAGGAAGATGTTTTCCGTAAGGGAAAGACAAAATTATATGTAATTTGATTTTGTTTTTCTGAAATTTTTTCCATTCAATGTTGTACTTACTGCTGTGATTCCACTAGTAGCATCGGGGACCGAAGTCTGTAGAGGGAGAAAAAAAACATGCATTTTAAGAAAACAAAATCTGTAATAAGGGATATTATATTTAAAAAAAATAGCTTGTCTGAAAATAGAATTTCTAGTTTCTGACCCTTTGCAAAATTAACTGATTTTTATAGCCATTTTTTTAAACTGAGAGTTGATTCATGCCCAGATAAAAATGAAATTTGGTCCTATGGATCAGTATTTCAGAAATAAATTCTTAATTACCTACTTTGTGCATTTACAGCATGTAAGAAGTAACAAGATGGCAAAGTGAGCACGGAGTCAGGAAGACCTGATTTCAAATCCAGCCTCAGATACTTAGTAGCTGTGTGACCTTGGACAAGTCACTGAACCTCTCTGCCTCAGTTTCCTCATCTGTAAATGATAATAACAGCACCTACCTCACAGAGTTGTTGTGAGGATTAAATGAGATAATATTTGTAGAACACTTAACACAGTTCCTGGCACATAGTAGGTGCTTAATAAATCATTCCAATTCATCTGTAGAGACAGGGTAGCTTAGTGGATAGAATGCTGGGCCTAAGCCCAGGAAGACCTGGATTAAATTGCTGCTCCTGCCACTAGCTATTTCATACCCTGGGCAAATGTCTGAAGGTACTACGTATTTCAAGCAACTTCCTAAGACTTATATATTGAGTCATAAGTGGGCTGTGATCTTCATTGGCAAAGGGAGTTCCCATACTGGGAGTTCTCCTTCAAGTATTTGAATTGTTCACAGCAAATGTTTGATTTTGTCACCCAGGACACTGAGCTATTATGGAAAGAAAATTAATTTCTTTAGAAATCATAGGATTTAGAACTAGAACTCCATGTTACAAATGAAAAAATTGAGAATTAGGAAGGTTTATCCCAGGTTACAAAGGCAGGAAGTAGCAAAACCCAGGATATAAGTACAAGGCCAAGTATGTGTTGGGGAGGAAGGGTTAGAGGGAAACATGGGAGAATACTCCCATGTTTCCACAATATTTGGGAGTCAAGAGAGGAGACATTCAGTGGTGTGTAAATTCCTTGAACTATACACCCGAAAAGGCTATGACCAAATGCCACAGTATGGTCATATTACCTGCCATGTATTCTGATTCAATAGGCATGTTTTTAGCATGGCCAGTTTAAAAAGAAGACAGAAGTCTCCTCAGAAGGAGTGAGAGGTGGACTGATAAAAAGGGGGAGGTGCAAGTATAGCCAAAGGGAAGAGCAGAGAGACAGAGGACATTGCAGCCCTCTTCTCTGTCCCAGCATCCTGTCTAGACCTTGATGATAGGAGCAAAGCTTCGTAGTTCATCTGATTGCCGTCTGAGGTAGCCAGTGCTCTCCAGCTACTACTGTTTAGAAATGGGAAGGAAAATGTATAAATAGAGCCCTCCATCACGTGCTAGGCTTTGAAACTTCTGTTAGTAAATTGATGCGTCCTTCTTCTGCTGTTTTGAAGAGATTATCATGATCTGAGGAGTAGTGGACATTTAATAATGAGTGCCAAGGATGTTTAATATCTATATTATTTTATTAAGTACTTTTTGCTTTGATTTCATGAATCATCTGGTTTGGTTTGCTCAAAAGTCATTGGATGGGGCTCAGAGTTATGAATTTTAACAGGTGAATACCCAAACAATACTATGTTTCATGAAAAATCAAGGCCCATATGGGATATCTAGAGCTCAATATGGGGCTGCCACTCTTTTCTGTCTCTCTTTGCCATTACTTTTGATGCCTCTTGACTATTGCCACCCTGTCTCTTACCATTGCCACAAGACTCCCATCCTCTTTTTGATCAGGTTGCATTGTAAGGATATCTACCTAATCATAATGTGTTCTGAGTCATATCGACATACTATGAAAATCAATTTCTTTCTTTTCTTCCTTCTTTTTTTATCTATCATTTCCTTTTTTTCTTACATTTCCACTCTTATCTCTCTTCATTCTCTCCTTCCTTCCTTCTTCTTCTTCATTTGCCCCATCTCTTCATTTTTCCCTTCAATTTCTCTTCAATTTAGCTGCTTTGTGTTAATATGTTATATGTGATTTCTTCTTTTTTAAGTGGTATTTTAGAGGGTCTCTTATCCATAGATAGAACATCAACACACCTTAACTCTTCCTTGTGAGGTTGATTTAATTTATCCTTCTGAATCATCAGTATAATTGCCCCCAAAAAGAGAAGCAATGACATCCATAGAAGGAATAAACAAGTGGAACTGGACCAAACATCATACCATAATCTTGTTAAGTTGAAGATAACTTGTACCCAACATAAAAGGTAGAACAAGTCAAGATGGCGAGTGAACAGTGTTGAAACAGTTTGCCACCGGAAACTAGAAACCTAAATATATTTGAAAAAAATGGGGACTTCCTCATCTATTCAGTTTGCTCTTGCTTAACTTGAAGTTTCTGTGCTATTCTACAGAGGCTCAACTCAAAAACTACACTAACATTTGCTGGCTTATCTAGTGCAAAGGATATGAATGCTTACTGTGTTAGGTGGCAGTGTGAGATTTTCAATCATGCTCTGAAAAAGAAAAGGAAACATTAAAATTCATTGCCATTCACAGTCTGTCTGGTTTGTCCTCCTCATGCACTTCTAACTCAGGTAGATATTCCCTATTTTATCCCCGCCTCTAGGTTCAACTCTGCCCTAACTCTAGCCTGAGGGATTCCTAGAAGTAGTTTGGCTCAGGATCTATCTTGATTACCCCTCCTCTCCTTCAGTGTATGGGATCCTTTCTTTGAGCCCAATATCCCCACCTTGTGTCCTACTCTTCAAACACCTGCTCCCTGAGCCTAATTGTCCCATTTCCCCAGGTTTGGGTCCCTAATGCTAATTGCTTAACTGATTGGAGCTGAGTTACCTGTTTTGCGGTGGATAGAATGACGGGCTAAGTTTTCTGACTTCAGTCATTTACTAGCTGTGTGACTTTGGGCAAGTCACTTAACTTGTGTTTGAATCAATTTCCTCAACTTTAAAATGCGGATAATAATAGAAATTGCCTTGCAGGATTGTTGTGAGGATCAAATGAAATAGTTGTTGTTAAAAGTGTTTAGCACAGTGCCTGGCACATAGTAGGCACTATGTACATGTAATGATTCCCTCCTTCCCTCCCCTTCTCTCCATCCTGGATTAAAACTGCAGTGACAGTCAGAGTATCTAAGACTGGGTGGTAGTCTCATTGTACAGTGTTCTGATCACACTCCACCTGGAATACTGTGTTCACTTCTGGGTGCTACATTTTTAAGAAATACATCATGTAAGTTGGAGAAGGCCAGCTTGGTGGTGCAGTGGATAAAGTACCAAGCCTGAAGTCAGGAAGACTCATCTTCTTGAGTTCAAATCTGGCCTCAGACACTTACTAGCTATGTGACCCTGGGCAAGTCACTTAACCTTGTTTACCTCAGTTTCTTTATCTGTAAAATGACTTGGAGAAGGAAATGGCAAACCATTCTAGTATCTCTGCCAAGAAAACCCCAAATGTGGTCATGAAGAGTCAGATATGACTGAACAAAGTTGGAGAGCATACAGAAACGGGTGACAAAGGGCCTCAAGATCATGCTATAGAGCACATATCTGGGCATTGCCTTGAGTCTAGGCATGAGATTTCCCATACCAAGAATTCTTAACCTATGAGTCCCCATGAACTTAGATATGAAAAAATTACATTTTTATTTTCAGTCTGTTAATTAACATTGATTAAGCACCTACCATGTGCCAGGCATTGTCCTAGGTTTCCTTTGTAATCCCATGCATTTCTTTTTATGCATTTAAAAATAATATTCTGGGAGGGAGTCCATAGGTTTCAATGGATTGCCAAAGTGGTCCACGACCCAAAAAAGGCTAAGAACCTCTGTCCGACACAGAGGTGCAAAAGGCTTTGTTGATTCCAAATGAATATCCATTCTATTCTGTCATTGATGATATTTCTTTCAAAGCTATAAACTTAAGGAAGACTGATTGGGTGATACCTAGCCACATACCTAAGCTACCGACTTGCTCTTGAAAAGGGGATAACAGACACAGAAATGATGAGACTGCAAGTTAACAAAACCAGAGAAAACTCAGTTGGACACATACAGACTCTGAGTCTCTGGCAGAAGCTTATGTCTCCTAGTAGACCCTCCATGGGACCACATGGCTCCAGAAAAAGAGGGAAACATGTCATCCCAAAGACAGCAGGGAATAGAAGTGTCATGGAGTATCATGAATTCCTGTACCAATAGAGAAATAGCTGTGGAGCAAGGGAAGAGGTTGAGTAATTCTGGGACAAAGTGTGTGTGTGTGTGTGTGTGTGTGTGTGAAAGAGTGAGAGAGACAGAGACAGAGAGACAGAGAGACAGAGAAAGAGAGAGAGATTCTTGGAGCAAATGCAATAGTTTTTGGATCTAATCAGGAGCAGAGTCAAGGAACATCAAGGCACAGATCCTTAATGCAGAAGAGAAACCCAGCACTTTCCTTTTCTTAGTACTGTGAGTTATGTGGAATTTACTGACTCGAAGGAAGGAGTCAATTCTCTCCCAATCCTGACCTCTTGTAGGGAAGTGTCAACACTATGTTTCTCATTATAGCCAAAGATCTCATTAGCTTTTTTTTTAAGAGCTAGAAAGTATTTTTCTTTTAAAAAAAATAATTAATTTATTTTAGTTTTCAACATACACTTTTATGAGATTTTGAGTTCTAAATTTCCCTCCCTCCCCAAGATGGCATGAAATCTAATATAGGCTATACATGTATGATCATATTAAATATATTTCCACATTAGTCATGTTGTGAAAGAAGTATCAGAACAAAAGGGAAAAACCATGAGAAAGAAAAAACAAAAAACAACAAAAAAAGAGAAAATAGTATGCTTTGATCTGCATTCAGACTCCATAGTTCTTTCTCCAGATGTGGATACCTTTTTCCATCATGAATCTTTTAGAATTGTCTTAGATCATTGCGTTGCTCAGAAGAGCTAATTCCAACAAAGTCGGTCATCACACAATGTTGCTGTTACTGTGTGCAGTGTTCTCCTGGTTCTGGTCACTTCACTCAGCATCAGTTCATATAAGTCTTTCCAGGTTTTTCTGAAGTCTGCCTGCCCACTATTTCTTATGGAATAATAGTGTCCCATTACATTCATATAACATAACTTGTTCAGCCATTCCCCAATTGATAGGTGTACCCTCAATTTCTAATTCTTTGCTACCACAAAAAGAGCTGCTATAAATATTTTTGTACATATAGGTCCTTTTCCAGTTTTAAAAAATCTCTTTGGAATACAGACCTAGTAGTGGTATTACTGGATCAAAGGATATGCAGTTTTATAGCACTTCAGGCATAGTTCCAAATTGTTCTACAGAATGATTGGATTAGTTCACAACTCCACCAACAATGCATTAGTATTTCAATTTTCCCACATCTTCTCCAGCATTTATCATTTCCCTGTTTTGCCATATTAGCCAATCTGATAGGTGTGATGTGGTACCTCAAAGTTGTTTTGATTTGCATTTCTCTAGTAAATAGTGAAAGCATTTTTCATATGACCATAGATGACTTTAATTTCTTCATCTGAAAATTGCCTCTTCATATCCTTTGACCATTTATCAATTGGGGAATGACTTGTATTCTTATAGATTTGACTCAGTTCTCTACATACTTCAGAAATGAGGCCTTTACATACTATTTGCTATTTTTCTTCTGTTTTGTTTTGTTTTTTCTTTCTTGTGGTTCCTCCTGTTGGTTCTAATTCTTCCTTACAACATCACTAATGTGAAAATATGTTTAATAGGAATGTATATGTATAGTCTACATCAAATTGGGGGAGGGGAGGGAGGTAGGAAGAGAGGTGCAGAAAAATTTAAAACTCAAATGCTTATGGAAGTGATTATTGATAAATTAAAATAAATTAATAAAAAAAGAAATGAGGCCTTTATCAGAAATCCTGGCTGTAAAATTTGTTGCCCAGATTTCTGCTTCCCTTCTAATCTTAGTTGCATTGGCTTTGTTTGTGCAAAAACTTTCCAATTTAATGTAATTAAAATTATCCATTGTGCATTTCATAATGTTCTCCATCTCTCATTTGGTTATACATTCTTCCCTTCTCCATAGATCTGACAGGTAAACTATTCCTTGCTCTCCTAATTTGCTTATAGTTTTGCCCTTTATCTCATTAGCTTTTTAGGCTATGATATCACACTGTGGACTTGTATAGAGTTTGGAGTCTGCTAATTCCCATACACAAAATAGGAGATTGGCACTAATTCACCTGAGGGAAAAAAAGCAAAAACTATTTAATATATTAACTTCTTACCAACAGAAATAAATTTGGTGATATTGAGGCTGTGATCTCATAGAAGGATTTTTTTTGGTTTATTTGTTTTATTTAGTTTTTTTTCCCCTCTAATTTAAGGGACTATAGTCAACTGGTTCATTGCTTTATTTAACATGAAGAGAGAAACTCAAGATATGTAGACTCCAAAGTGTCAAGTAATGTTTGAAAGGTTTCAGTGGGCTCTGATTTCTTTACCAATTCTGGATAGTCAAATACTTTTGAAACAATTAGAGTATCAACTCATGTATCTTATCCTAGTTTAATTGTGATTTTATTTCAAGGCCATAAAACAAATATGATGGTATGGTGTAGAGTCAAGAGTATTGAATCAACAAAAAAAATATACTGAACCAGGAGTCAGAACATTTATGTTTTAGCCTAGATTCTGCCACTATGTGTCTGTGTGATTTTGGGGCAATTCACTGAACCTCACTGAACCTCTGTGTACTATCTTCAAAATGAAGGGTTAGAACTAGGTCATCATCAAGATCCTTTTCCTTGCTAAAGTTCTGTGTTCTGTGCCTATGATCTGAATCTTATCAGAGAGTTATTGCTAAGGGAAAGACACCTGTATTATATCTAAAAGGATTGCCTAGGAATTGTTAGGGCTTGGGGTAAATTTTGACCACACAATGTTGGCTAGAGATGTACTCTGTGGATTAGTCATCATCGTAACATAGATGAAGACTGCAGAACTTTAATAGCAAGTAAGAGGAAAAAAAAGGAGTCATGGCAGCCCCTGGTCATCTGGAAGAATGTTCAGTGTGTCCCTTAATGGGGAAATAGCATCATAGACATACTTCTTCTATGAGAAAAGTATGACACAGATTCTTACATAGCCATTGCCTCTATAGTTAACTACTCCATTCCTATCCCTCTCTCTCTCTCTTTTTTTGTTCTTGTTTTCTTTTTCTATCATTTCTGTAACAGAGTGTTTCTTAGTTTGGGTACTAGATTGACTTCCATCAAAATACCAACCAATAAGAAAATTTATTTCTTCTGGTTAGCAAACCCACCTCTTATTGCACCTTCTATGATCTTTGCCCCTTAGCCTCCTCTAGATGCATACTCTGGTATTTCTCATTCATTCTCAGATTCATAGCTGAAGATGGCTAAAGGTGGCAAATATCTAATCACTGCCTAATTAAGGTGTTGTTAGGTTCTTATGATGTCACCATATTGGTAATACATACATACATATATACACATATATATGTATATATGTATACACACACACACACACACACATATATATATATATATATGCATGGCTTGGGCCCTACAAGTAATTGAGTTAATCCTGATTATCAGTTGAAGGAACTAGGATGTTTAATCAAGATAAGAGAATACTTGGGAGATATACCTCCATTCCCTGGAAATCTCCAGCCATGTCACTGCCCATGGCTTCCTGTCATCCAGCATACACATACTTTCCAGCTCCTATGTTGTCTTTACCCATTAGAATTTAAGCTCTTTGTAGGAGGGTTTCAGAAAAACCTGGAATGACTTATATGAATTAATGCAAAGTGAAGTGAGCAGAACCAGGAGAACATTGTACACAGTAACATCAATATTGTATGATATTCAACTATGAATCACTTAGCTATTCTCAGCAATACAATGATCCAAGACACTTCTAAAGGATTTATGTTGAAAAATGCTATCCACCTCCAGAAAAAGAACTGATGGAGTTTGAGTGTAGATCAAAGCATACTTTTTTTACTTTATTTTTCTTGGGTGTTGTTTTTTTTTGGTCTGTGTTTTTCACCCCACAAACTTAGCTAATATGGAAATATGTTTTGCATGACTGTACATGTATAGTCTCCATAGAATTGCTTGCTTTGTTAATGAGAGGGCAGAGGCATGAAGAAGGAGAGCATTTGCAACTCAAAATTTTAAAAAATTAATGTTTAAAATTCTTTTTACATGTAATTGGAAAAAATAAATAATTTTTAAAATTAAGGTCTTTAAGGACAGGAACTGTCTAATGAGCTTTTAGCTGCATCCCCAATGCTCAGCATACTATCTGGCCCAGTTAACCTCTCTGTCTCTCTCTCTGTCTCTGTCTATCTCTCTGTCTCTTTTTCTCTGTTTCTGTCTCTGTCTCTCTAATACCATGTAGGAAAATGATTAGACTCATTCTCTATGGCCCCAAAGGGAGGAACCAGAAAAATGTACATAAATTGGCACGAGGTAAATTTAGACCCAACTTCAGAAAAGACAATTAGGGTATCCTCATTGAGTCATTGAGTTTTCCTTCAAGCAAGAATCAATTACAATGTAATTGTAGTAGAGATTATTTTTGGAATATGGGTTGGTTTAGATGACCGCTCAAGTCCCTTCCAAATCTAAGCTTCTGCAATTCTTAACATCAATTATGGTATAGATATATCATGGTTTTAATAAAATCTGAAATATATTAAATGCCTCTTTCTTTAGGATACTCAAAGCAAGTGTATCACCCTTCCAACCCTAGTCAGAACAGGGCTAAAGCCCATTGTCTAAGGAATGAGTGAACTTAGATTGAATATTGTTTTCCTCTTGAAGAGAGCATTGTACTATGTTTCTTCAAGACATTAATATCTTTCTCCTATTGGCCCAAATCTCTGTCATTCTCATGGTAACAAATAGCACATGCAGTGTCTTGTTCCAGGTCACTCCCCAACTCCCAGATGTTACTCAGAAAGAAGCTTTGTCTCTATGACAGTGACATCAGCCCAGAGCTCGCTGGTGAGACATTGCTCGGGAGTAGCTGTATCAGCCCTTGTATTGAGCATCAGCCCTCCGTACAGCACCTGGAGGCTTGTTTTTTATTTATGTCAATAGTTATTTAGCTCTCTTAAGCTAAAGGACTCAGATCCAAGTTGGTTCAAAAGAGAACTGATGAAGAGTCAGATATAACCTATGAATGAGAGATAGGCAAGGCTTAGATAAATACAGGGTCATCTGAACTACCCTGGTCAGTAGATGTGTCCTGTTGTGAGGGAAATGAGTGAGCTATATCTAAGCCAGAACCAAATTCTCCAGCTATCAGATAGACATCGGTTGATGGAAGGAAAGGGTCACAGGATTTTGAGTTGAAAATGCACTTAGTCAGCTAGCCAATCCCTTTGATTTCTGTATGAAGAAACTGAAGCCAAAAAAGGGGGAAGTAACCTGTGGAGGGTTATATAGATTGAACGTAGCAGAAATGAAACTAATTCAAACCCCAAGTCTTCTGATTACAAACCCAACACTTTTTCTACTACTGACATCCCCTACAAGAGGGAAGGAACTGTTAGGAAGAGCCCCGTTCTTCAGCCCCTTCCTCCTCACTTCAGTCCTGTATCCCATTTGCCTCTTCCTCTGGGCTCAAGCCAGCCTAGAACCTAAAATCTACTGTCTTACCTTTGGCAAGAAGTATAGGGAGGCCCCAGTTCAGATAACCTTGGCACAGTGTCAAGCTCCTTTCTTGATGCCCATGTGCCCTGGCATGGTACCAGCTAAGCACCCTCAGTTAAATAGTACTAGGAAAACATTAAAAATTCAGTTGTTTTTCTTTTTAAAGTAATTAGAATGATCAAGCTTAACCCTGAAGAACAGATATGAGAATGTACCTTCCTTCTTGAAAGGGAATGTGAACCACTGTCACACTTAATTGATGTTAATTATCTTTGCTGAACTATTTCTTGTTTTCATTTATTATAAGTGATGGTTTTCTGGGTTGACCGGGGGAAGGGGTCTATTGGGAAATTAAGGTGATGTCAAAATAAAAGATGCCAATACAAATTGATAACAAATTTAAATGAATTTTAAACACTGTATGGAAAATTATTCATCTTTTGTCAGTACGTAAAGCTTAATCTCTTGACCTCTTTATTCACAAAAGTGTGAAGAACTTCTTTCAGATGAGAAACTTTGTTTCTAGACATATCCTTTCAACAAATTGGAAGACAGTCTCATTAAAAACCTTTCCATTTTCTTCCCTTAAGAGAAACAAAGTTGTCAATGGGATTAAAAAAACAAACAAAAAACCCTTTTCACTTACCATTTCTGCTGCTCGCATCTGGGATTGCATAAGTGTGTGGAACTCCCAATGTGGAAACCTCCTCCACCAATGAAGATCAGCGACTCATTTGGGAATAGTGTTCTGAGTGACAAAGAGTTTAAATCACTTAAAGCAAGTGCCAACAGTCACACAGCTAATATGCATCACAGTCCTCTCAGCACAGACTTCCTCCCAGCACCAGAATTCACCAAATGAATCCAGTTCGATCACAGGTGCCCTCCTACTGACGCTTCATGCCCATCTGCAGGACCGTTCTACCTTTTGAGCCATCTGTGAAGGGAGTGAGCAGAAGAAAACTGAGCTCAGTCTCTGCTTCCAGGGCACCAGAAGTGTATGATCGGAAGGCAAATGTCTCAGTTGCTGCTGCCTGGCCAGAATCTAGGGAGGTATCTGAGACCACTCGTCCCTCAGCAAATAAAACTGTTCTTTGTCACCCTTTATTTGCACCATGTTGGGCACTTGCCCACTCCTCTGGCACTCGTATTCATCCCCCTTAATTTTCAGTTTCCCTTTCTCCTCCTCACCTCTGCAGCCAAAGTCAAGTCAATCCAAGCTTGGAGGAATCTGCAGCCAGCAGCAGCAAGCTCCTCAGAAAGCAGTGGGTCACAGAATGGAAAGTGTGGTGGTACCATTCTCCAGCTGACGGGCTTCCAAATTCAACAGCTTTCCTGGCAGCAAAAAGATGGACCCACTGCCAACATCGATACAGAGAGTAGATGTGCTTGGGGAGTCTCTTAGACAGTGCTTATTCCACTTACTTATTTCCTTCAAGTAACAGATTTAGGGCCACTAGACATTCTGGACATATTATAAAGTGAGAGGCAATTTGATACAGTGGATAAATCCCAGGACCTGGAGACAGGAAGATGAGAATTCAAATCTTGCTCCAAATACTTATTAGCAGTATAACCTTGATTAAGTTACTTAGCCACTGTCTGCCTCAGTTTGCTTATAGATAAATTGAGGATAATAATAGCTTCCACCTCATAAGGTTTGTCATTAGGATCAAATGAGATTATATACATATACATACAATACACATATATTATATAATAATATATCATAGTATTCTATATAATATATAATTATATAATATTGTATATTATAACATACCATAGTGTTCTAATATGTTATATGTGTTATATGCTATAATTATGTGGATGCTTTTTTTTAGTCTTTCTAGATTTAGATATTTTAAACTTTTCTTCCCAAGGGGAAAGTGATATGGCATAGTGGATAGAGGGATATACTTGGCATCAGGAGGACTCAGGTTCAGGTTTTGACTCTGATGCCTACTAGCTGTGTGACCATTGGCAAGTATTTCCAACTCTTTATTGCCCAGGAAACTATCCAAGACTCTAAATTCCAAATGAGTTGTTGATCTGCTTTGGTGGAGAAAGTTTCCACAATGGGAGTTCCACATTCTGATGAAATCCCAGATCTAGATCCTATCCCCCAAGCCCCTGCTCAAAATTTTTTTGAAAGTCTCATAATTCAATGAGTCTTAAGGAAATTGAGACCCTCCATATTGAGCTCCCTCATCTTCCATAGCCTACACTTCATGCTGTTCTATATCTTTACTATCCCCTTCTTCCTTACATTAGTCTCTGAGGAAGAGACAACACTTCTCCTTGCCAAGAACCCATTTATTTATTGTCTCAATCATTCCTTCCCATGTCCTCGTAGAGTTCATCCCGTATATAATTTTCTCCCTCTCACCTTTTACCTCTCTCCATCTCCTAACTCCTCCCCCTGCCTATTAACATGTCCAGGTATCCTGCATCCTTTTTAAAAAATCCATTTATGTGACCCTGCCATTCCCTCAAGCTATTGTCTTGTATCTTTCCTCCCTTTCCCTGCTAAGTCCCAGAAAGAACTGCTTATATTCACTGCCTATATTTCTTCACCACTCATTCATTTTTCAATCCTTTGCAATGACTTTAAGGGTCACCACTCTGATAAAGATGTTCTTTCAGAGGTCATGAGTGATCTCTTAATTTCTAAATTCAATGACCTTTTCTCTGTTGGCATCTTCCTTGACCTTTCTCCAGCTTTTGACACTGTCAATCAACCTGAACTCCAGGGTAATTTCTCCTCCCTTAGTTTTCATGACATTGCTCCTTTACCTAAGCACAGCTAGTTGGTGCAATGGTCTGGAGTGAAGAAGACCTGAGTTCAAATGTGACCCCAGACACTTGACTAGCTGTGTGATCTTGGACAAGTCACTTAACCCCTGTTTGCCTCAGTTTCTTCAACTGTAAAATGGGGATAATAACAGGACCTACCTCCCAGGATTGTTGGGAGGATCAAATGTGATAATATCTGTAAAAGCACTTAACAGTATCTGGCACATAGCAGGCACTTAATAAATGCTTGCTCCCTACCCTTTCCCCTTCCTCCCCTCTTTGTTAGTTCCCATTTCTAAATCATAATCCATTTCCCAACTCCTTTTTGTGGAGATCCCTCAGAGTCATATTCTGAGCCGTCTTCTTTCTGCACTCTCTTCCTTGGTGATTTCATCAGTTCCCATGAATTCTCTAAACATATGATTCCCAAATCCATATAGCCCACCTGCATCTTTTGGAATTCCAATCCTTCATTATCAACTGCCTGGTAGACATCTCTGCATGATATCTGACTGCTGGTTAAGACATGGTATGTCCAAAACAGAACTAATCATTCTTTCCTTTAACTACACCCCTCCAAACTCTCTTGTTTCCATTAAGGGCACTGTCATATATATACATACATACAGATACACACATATACACATATGTGTATATATTTGCATATACACATATTTGCATATGTGTATATAAATATATTCACATATATACATATTCACATATAGGCATATTGTGTATCTGTGTATCTAAATATAAATATATACATATACACATATATGTATATGCATATATATGCATATGTGTGTATATATTTACATATGTATTTACACACACACACACACACACAATCTAGCCAACAGTCTGGTTCAATTCAGTTCCTCATCACTTCTGGCCCAGATTATTGTAATAACCTCCAACTTGGTCTCCCTCCTTTCAATCTGTCCTTTCCCTAGTTGATCCCCAACCCACACAAGCTGCCAAAATAATCTTCCCAAAACAGAGTTCTTACCATATCATTCCCTTGCTCAAAAATCTTCAGTAGCCCTTTCTTGTGTCTAGGTCAGGATAAGATACCAATTCCTCAGCTAGGCATTTAATCCTCCCTGTGAGATCTGACTCCAATTACTTCTCCAGTCTTATTTCTTTTCACTTTCCTTTACCTACTACTCTACAGGGCAGCTAGGGGGTCCAGTGAACAGAACACTATGCTTGGTATCATTTTCATGAGTTCACATCAGGACTGAGACACCTATCAGCTGTGTGACCCTGGGCAAGTCACTTAACCCTACTTGTTTCAGTTTCTCATCTGTCAAACGGCAGCATTCTGGAGAAGGAAATGGCAAACCACTCCAGTATCTTTGCCAAGAAAACCCCAAATGAGGTCATGGAGTATTGAACATGTCTGAAACAACTGAAAAACAACAGGTGCTCTGCATCCCGGCAAAACTAGGCTGCTATCTGTTCCCTTACCTCAAACTTCCAACTTTTACGTCTGCACAGTAACACAAGCTATCCCCTGGGCTTGAAATGAACTTCCTCTCTAGTCCCATTTCTCAAAATCGTCTTCTTCCTTCCAGGATCACTTCAGTCATTGCCTTCTCCTTGAAATCTTTCCTGATTTTTCCCAGTGGTTGATGCTTTCTACCTTCTCAGATAGCTACTATATTCACTTAACAATTCTTTCTATTTTTGATCCAGACCTGTGATTGCATCATTGTAGGTATCTCTTTATATCAATGCAGAATTGCAACTACTCTATAATTTAGAGTCTGAGAGAACTGTTCGGAACACTGAAGGATGTAAGTGACTTATCCAGGGTCACACAGTCAGTATGTGGTCAGAGATAGATTAGAACTGAGGTTAACCTAATTTTGAGGCTGGCTCTCTATCCACTGCTCTACAGGGCCTTTATTTACTTAGCTATGTGTATGTGATGTCTCCCCAGTAGAAGGTAAGCTTCTTGAGGGCAAGGATGGTTTCATTTCATCATTTGTTTATCACTGTGAAGATATTTGGTTGGGACTTAAGACAAATGGTATATTAGCACAAGACAACCTCCAGAATGTTTTTTGATATTAGCAGCCTATTAAAGTGGAAGAGTTGGCCAGGGAACAGGAAACATAACCAAACACCAATGCTTTAATGTTTCTTGTGTTTTCAAGCATTAGCTGTTACATAGATTTGCCCTATTCCTTTGCCAATGGAAGCTTTGCAGATGGATTTAATTTATTTGGTCACATATGATATTAATGTAGATCTTGGGACATTCAGATTTTCTTGGTAGGATCAATGAGTACAAAATAGAATTCAATTCAATAAACATTTATTAAGCCACTTCATTTTAAGCCAGCTATCACACTAAGCACTGGGAACCCAAAGAAAAAAATGGCTTGCCCTCAAAGAGCTTATATTCTACTAGGGGGATATATGTATGCAGCTAAGTACAAGATATGTACAAAATAAATAGAAAGCAATTGAAAGGAACTGACAACTGGGAGAACCTGGAAAAAGTCTTTTTGTAGAAGATGACATTTGAGTTGAGCCTTAAAGGGAGCTGGGGTGCCAAGAGGTAGAAGTGAAGAAGGAAGGTATCCAAAGCATAAAGAATATACTGTACAAAGGCACGGAGGTGGGAAATGGGTTTTCATATACAAGGAACAGCAAGTAGTTGGCCTCCTTGGAATGGAATAAAGAGTGTGTGGGACTGATGTGCAACTAGCCTGAAAAGACTGGCTTGGAGCCACATTGTGAAGGGCTATAAAGAAGTCACTGATGTTTTCCCCTGTGCTGTCTTCTGGCTAGGCTGGGCTGCAGTCTAAAGGCATATTGTAACAATAATGCGGTCCACACCACAAAATAGACTTATTAATAATTATGACCACTCGCTTACTCATTTCTGTGAAG